TGTTTTATAAAAGTTCAATAAGTTATTGAACATTTTTTGGAATGTCTAAGGACTTATTTGTTCCAAACATTGTCCAATGACTTATTTAACATATTTTGTAATGTCCAATGACTTATTTGTTCCAAAAAATTGTCCAAGGACTTATTTAACATGTTTTGAAATGTCCAAGGACTTATTTATTCTAAAAAAAGTCCAAGGACTTAATCATTTCAAACAAGAAAGTCCATTGGTTTTTATTGTACTTTTCCCTTTTTTTTTAATGATAGATTTTTTGATACATTATAAAATTTGTAATTGAGTCATTCAAATACACTTTAAAAATGTGCTTTATTAGAATTAAAACCGAGAATGAACGTTTTTTTGCATTTTATAAGTTGGTATGTAAATCTTTCAACCATGACACTTATATATAGAGTTTGGAAGATAAAAAAACAAAAAAGGGTCATAAATAGCTATAATTTAAAAAAAAACAACTTTTTTAAAATCGGGCCGGTCCCAGCCGACACTCCTATAACCATTCCCGGGACGGGACGGGTCGGCCATCACTACTGGCGAAGGATCGAGACTAGTCCGATGGTCTTTAACCATGCATGAGTTTTAAGAATATTCATGGTTCGGTCCGACCGGTCTAGAATCGAGACCAATTATACATAGAAGTTTTTTTCAAGTTTTTGTAACCAATACTAAATCTCAAAAATCGTAACTATATAAAACATCTAAAATATTTTTATATAAAAAATATTTAAAAATATATTCTTAAAGTGAATTTGAATGATTTAATTATGGATTTTAAAGTGTATTTCAACAAGATATCGTCAAAAAGAGAAAATTTTCAATAATTATTTTTTACGTTCAAAATTGAGTTTTGAAAAGGAAAAAAACTAGGACTGGTTTGGGCCCGATCCATCTTGATTTTAATATTTCGTTTTATTCATTATCTTAATCGATGTTATAATATGGTCTTATGTGATTTTGAAAAAACGATCATGTTTTTATTTTTTTAAATAAATATAAATTTAAAGATATAATAGAAAATTGACAAAAATATATCGATATTAGTATCAAATTAACTATTTAAAATTCCTCATTTTTTGTGTAATTTTATATTCAATTTTTTATTATAATTTAATTTAGGTTCAACAACGAAGTAATTTATATTTGGTTTAATAATATAATTTTCTTATAAATATAATAATTAATTAGTTTGTTAGAACTCGATAATTATCCTAATTATATTTTAGATTTTTTATATTTTAAAACAAGATGTTTATCTTCTATTTGATTATATTTATCCGCAGTTAGTTACACGAATTCAAATATGGAGTTTTAATAAGTTGTACTTGTGCATATTTTACTTGTAATATTGAAATTTTAAGTAATATGAATCAATATACAGTAGTTCATGCATAAAAAATAGTTTTTAAAAGTTTTTGTCAAATGCTTTATAATATAGTATAGATAACTTCTGCTTAGGTAGTGAATTTTTTCTTCACTGAGTTTGACGTAAAAGTTTGTAATTTATTGTGATTAAAAAAGTTCACATAAAAGTCGTATTAATTGTTTATAGTTTATGAGGTTCTAGAATCATTAAGTTATAAAAGAAATTCTGATTTGTTATCTGTCTTACATTAAATTCAAAAAATATATATATTAATACAGTTGTTGTAGTAGTAGTAGTAGTAATTTGTTTGTTTATACAAATGACACACGACTTACCGTAAGTTGACCTATCATACAAGTCTTGTACCAACTTGCATATACAAGGTGTGTTTGGGATTGCTTATTTAAAACAACTTGTGTTTTTTTGTAAAAGTGCTTATTAACTTATGTGGTATCAAATCGAAGTTAAATAAAACAGAGTTAAAATTGTAAACTGATAATAAATAGTTTTTCATAAGTCAGGAATGACTAACTTATCAAAAACAGCTTATTACCGATTTGGCATCGGTATAAGCAGTTTAATTTCTTATCCAAACATCAGAAAACAACTTATCATCGGTGTCAGACTGAAATAAGTTAAAAAACAGCTTTTATAAGCAATCTCAAACACCCCCACAGTACCAACAGTGAGTTTCTTGTTAGGCAGTATCAAACCTACGAAAGTTAGCTCGTTTTAAGTTAAAATTACTTTTTTGTAATTCTTCAATAATATCATTTAATTCTATCTTTTAACTGACAAACAACTTGCCAATCATGATTTGTTATGGATCATACCAAATTTTATAATAGATAAATTTGTTTAGTTAATAGTAAATATGAGAGTAGACTTGGGTCTTATAAATATAATTAATCAAATGTATCTGATAAATTAACTGTTAGCTGATAAGATAATTGAAAATGCAACATTGCTATCTGATAAATTAACTGTTAGCTGATAAGATAATTGAAAATGCAACATTGCCAAAAGTGACATTTAAAAAAACTAGTCAATTTTAACATTTCATAAAATATCTAAAACAAATTAGTAATAATATAATATGTTAACTAATATAAAGTAGATTATAAAAAAATTAAATAATATAATATGTTAACTAATATAAAGTAGATTATAAAAAAATTAAATAATATAATATGTTAATTAATAAAATTTTATATAATATTTATAAATAAGTTATTAGAAAAATACTAATTAAATTAAGCTATTTTACTAAACTATCTAACAAATTTTATTATTTATAAAATTAAGAAAATATAGTTTTAAGGGTCTGGTTGACCTGTTAACCTGTTAATTTAAGGGTCTGGTTGACCTGTTAATGTTGACATCATCGGGATCTTTTGTCAGCTAAGATATTTCATGCCATATTAATTTTTTTATTTTAAAACTAATATTCCACGTCATATTTAAAATTGCAAAAGAATTATAGAAAAATAACTAAAATTCGTTCTTTTTCAAAAATTATTGTAATAAAATATATTTTTCATTCCAAATCTCTTTTTTTTTTTTAATTCAGATATCAAATTGAAGATTTTTTTCAAAAATATACTTCTTTACTCACAATTTTAACTAATGGCAAAAAAGTTAAATAATACTAATGGCAAAAAAACCGGTCCCGGACCTCAACAGTCCCGGTCATAAAAAGTCCTGGCCAAACATTCCTATAACCGGTTATAGTTAGCCGGTCCTGGTCCCAGTTGACAAAAAAAAAATTAATGATAGATTTTTTAATACATTATAAAATTTGTAATTAAGGCACTCAAATACAATCTAGAAATGCGCTTTATTATAATTAAAACCGAGAATTGTGAATGTTTTTTTTTTTTTGCGCTTTTTGTGTTTCGTAAATTGGTATGTAAATCCTTCAACCATGACACTTATATATAGGGTTTAGAAAACAAAAAAGACCAAAAAACGGTCATAAACGGCTATATTTAAAAAAAAAAACATTTTTTAAAAAATCGGGTCAGGCTCATAATCGGTCTCAGTCGGTGGTCCTATAACCGGTCCTGGGTCAGAACGGTCCTTTGCCGGTCCCGGTCCCGGGCCAGACCAGACCAGTCTGACCATCACTACTAATGAAGGATCGAGACTGGTCCGATGGTCTTTAACCATGTATGATTTTTAGGAATTTTCATGGTTCGGCCTAGCCGGTCTAGAATCAGGACTGGTTATACATAGGCTCGATTTAAAAAAAAAAATTAAGTTTTTATAAATTATACATTAAGTTTTTTAATTATACAAGATCTTCTGGTTTTTTACTAAAAACTTCATGTTTTTTCTTGAAGTTTTTCAAGTTTTTGTAACCAATACTAAATTTCAAAAATTGTAACTATATAAACATCTATAACATTTTTGTATAAAAAAATATTTTAAAGTGAATTTGAATGACTTAATTAGGGATTTTAAAGTGTATTTCAATAAATTATCGTGAAAAAGAGAAAAATTTCAAATCACTATTTTTTACGTTTAAATTTTGAGTTTTGAAAAGAAAAAAACTAGGACCGTTTGGGCCCAATCCGGCCCGAGATCAATTCTCATAACCAGTCTCGGGTTTTTACTGGGACCGATGCGGCCTCGGCCAACTCTGTTCGAGACCGATTTTTAGCCATCTCCAAACTCATCTGTAAACAATCAGTTTTGTAATGTTTTAAACAATTTTAATCAATTACTTTAATATAATAAAAAACAAGTGATTATTAATTTAGAATTGTAGACTTTTAGCCAACTTGTTTTTTAATTTTATAGAAGCTTAAAATTTATAGTCAGATATTGTTTCATGTTTAATAGTTAATATCAAAACTTGATCCGTTAAATCATCTAAAAAGATTCTGACTAATAGTTATTTATGCATAAAAATATCGTTCTACATAAAACTTGCTTTTTGTCTTTTGTTGGCTTTTTTATTTTTTTTATTTAATATTATATATATATATTGATTTTAATTAATACAAATTACAAATTAATTCTTTTTTCTTTCGTTTT